GGCTTCCGATTATCGAGCCCTAAGGCTCTCAAAATCTCTACTCTTGGCCAATGAAGACCAATCATTATAACCGACCACCACACACCTTACCAATTACATTTCACAGAACCCTTGTTTACATAGCCTGACAATCAAGACATTTCAGAGAACCGTTATTTATTAATTCCCACACATTCCCAATTCACAGAGCACCTGCCACCGATTCGCACGAACCTCCCTCCGCCTGCCACCGAGGACGCTGCACCAGGATGAGACGCAATCCTTCGTTCTCCTAGACACTGATCCTTAAGGGCACCCATAAGTGACCCAGTCGGCCACCGTAGCCCCAGGTCAGCATCCCAAACGGATCGCAAGGTTGACTGTTTCTCTCACTGACCATTCCGGTTTACCCTGGATCAGCTCCATGAACCCGACATTGCAAGCTCAGCCGCTCAGCTCCTCTGTGCTAAAAATTCTTCCCATCCCGGGGCGGATGCGCAAACTCAGTGGCGACTTTGAGGCTGTCGGCCGCCACCCTGCAACCTTCCAGAGAACCGGATTCTGAGCATTCAGAACTTTAATGGAAGCATGATGGCCGCTCCCGCCTGACGACCAAGATGGGAGTGGCCATGTTTAAAACTGCCGTACAACAAATCCTTTGCTAGCCCTGAGGACTTGGCTATTTTAGGGTGAGAGCAGCCAGCGCTCCCCGGACCTCTAAGCAGACAGCGTGGCAGGGGGCCCAACGTTCCTTCCCCGCCCCCCGTGAACAGTGTGGCTGCGCCCACACCTGGAAGCTGAGCGTTCTTTGTTCCATCAGCCCTGGTGGTGAAGTTGGTTATATACATTTTTATAGTTTACACACACTCAAAAATTGAGATAGGGTATCATATAACCCAGGCTGGCCTTGAACTCCATCTTCCAGTGTCCCTTTCCAAAGTGTTGGCATTACAGGTATGCACTACCACATCTGTGACCCAAGTCCCAGTCAAACCTCGAGATAACCGCAGGTCTGTCCAACAGTTTAACTGCATGAGACACACTGAGTGCCATCGAAGTGAGGCCTAAGGACAGACCATAGGACACACCCAACTGGACACATCATTTCTCAGGGAAATTACCAAAGGCTGTAGCCCTTGGCATGGAAGTCAAGAGTTGCCATGTGCAAAGAAGGTATTAGAAACCGCTAACTGTTGTTGCCTAACCGTGAGGAAATATACAGGTAAGGGAATACCAGTGCAATTGACCCAAAAGTTTTGCCATTCATTGGGGGAAATCCTTTTGTTCATAACTGAAAAAAATGTCAAGGTATGTAAAATTCATGAGTGACTAAGAAAGAAGTCCAAGGATGTAACGGCTGGAGACCAGCAGGTCACTCTCAACTGCAGTGTAGATTCCTGGCATTATGCAAAATAGGCAAATTTGCCCTAAGTGCTGCAGTTACAGATCTTAAGATTCTCCTCAAGTTACAACTTTCCTCCATCTTTGTACAGATTTCATGTTAGGTTAGATGTTACCCAGAAAGAAAGTGGAGAATAAAATCGTGAGCGCCTTCCTTCCTCCCCCCATCTCCCTCTCTTGAGGCAGAAGATATGGTCCTGCTTTGTAGTCCTGGCTGGACTGGTACTATGTAGCCCAGACTGGTCTCAAACTTATGGTAATCTTCCTGGTTTAGCCTTTGCAGTGCTGTGGCTACAGGATGGGGCCAACAAGCTCCACTCTAGAAATAGTAACTGACCCATCACAATTTAGTCATCTAAGTTGGACACAGAACTGAATTAATAAACATAGTGCACCCAGAGTGAGCCTCCATGAAAACAATGGGAAAGTTAAATAGGCTTACAGGACCCTGAATATAAAGAATAGTCTCAAAACATGCAAACATGGAAGAATAGTCTTTTAGGCAATGGGAGGGAGGGGGCAAGTGATGGAATTTAAACTCAAGGCTATGTTATGTAAGTGTTCCACTGCTGTTACAACCCCAGTTCTTGTCTTTCAGTTGTTAACAGTGCGTGCCTCTGGCAGTTGGTTATATATGAGCTTCTTTTCTAAGGAAAATGTTGACTGTGAGATCACCAGGGACAGAGTAAAAAAGCAATGGACAAAAGCAAACATGACAATACTTTTATCTTTTATTATGAAAGTTTAACTAGAAAGAGTAAGAACTAATCCATGTACCCAAAACCAGCTTTAATTTGCTTTTTAAAAAAAAAAGAAATAAAAGGTTTATTTATTTCTTTTCTATGCAATCGTTCCCAGGTCCCATTCTTCTTTTCCCTAGAGATACCAGTTACAGATCTCATTGCATCCATGAATGCTTTTACAGTCTTCACATATAGTATTTAACCATGGAAAATACACTTAATAAGACTTGTGTGTTTTCAAGCCTCATGATATTGCATCATACATAATACTCTCTAGTTCAATTTTATTAATACTGTTTTGGGGATTTAACAATGTTAATGGAAATATCTCCAATTAGCTATTGTAACTTAAGCCCAATGGTTTAGAAATTGCTTTCAACTTTTCATTCTCATCAACAATGCTGCAGTGGACCTGCATATCCATCTCCTGAAACATGAGGACTCAAGTCTCTGCAGAGGGTAAAGTGTAGAATTGTTGGGTTCAAGAATATTCACATCCTCAACTTCACTAGATACTGCCAAACTGTGCTCTCGGTGACCACTTCCCACATCGCAGTACACAGTACACAGTGCCTTTGGCATCACATCTTTCCAGGCACCAACACTTCTGGCAATGTGATCTTGGAACAGCTCGTGTGGCTTTGTTTTGCATACCCCTCACTATTAGTGACTTTCTTTTGCATATCGCTATTAGTGACTTACCATTTTTCTAAAACCTTTAAACCTACTTTTTGGATGCTATTGTTAACCATTACAGCATATGCAGTTTCCACAAATATATTCGATTTAATAATTTTCTTGCTGTTCTTCAGTTTTTACACTTCTAGATGAACTTCCAGAACAATTTTGGGAAATTAAAGGGTAAAAGCATTCTATTAAGGAATTGCAGTGAATATGTGAATTTGAAAGAGCTGCCAACTTTACTGAGTCTCCTTGGACTATGTTTTAATGACACTTAGTTTATTTTATTATTCCTCAGTTTTCTGGGTTTAAAAATGTATTGTTTTATATCTAAGTATTAACTTTTTCAGATTCTGGAGTTTAACTCACAAGAATATGGTTTTCATACCGTTCACTGTTGTTCCCTCACACCTCAAAGTGTCTGCAGAGTAGCTACTCACTATTCACAGGATGAATGAGTCTGTTTTCCTTTTGATTTCTTTTTTGAAACCACTGGCTAAAAAACTTGGAAGTTTTACATTTTTCTATAGTATAGAAAAACTGACAATGTCTCAAAATGATAAGTCACCCATTACTTTGGTTCAGTGTCTTTTTTATGGAAACAATGAATTTCTGCTTTTTTTTTTTTTAGGAGCTGAGATTTCTGTTGTGATTTCCCTGTTCTAAATATAAGTTCTACATCCTTCCCAGAGAATCCTATTTTATTGGCTTAATCAAATTCATTCTCTTTAGGTAATTTACAAAACTAGTTTTATAGTTTTACTACCTAGGTCTACAATGACTATTCATTCAGAGGATGAAGACTCACGTGTTCTAAGATGTTTAGATTTTTCTCAGTTCTGATCTGTTAGTTCCCAAGGATGCTTGAGTTGTCTCCTAATGAATCTTGTCTTGCCTGTGAGAAGTGAGTTAATATGTTAAGTATGTTGAACAGTGCCTGGTGCTTAGTATGCACTTAACACATGTTAACCATTATTGTTGTTGAATATATGCTATAGTTGATGCACTATATTAAGTACTTTGCATGCAAATTTCTCATTTCAATATGGATCAATTTACAACACTTTCATTTAATTTCTACAATACAGTAGTCTTTAATATCTCCATTTTAAGATTAAAACCCTGAGGTTTAGAAAAGTCAAATTAGTTGTTCAAGGTCACATAGTACCATAGCTGTGGTAGAACTATGATTGTCCAAAATCCAAATGTTTTTTACTTTATGTGTATGAGTGTTTTATCTGCATGTATGTTAGCGCATCCATGTAGTACAATGCCCACAGAGGTCAGAAGAGGGAGTCAGATCCCTGGAACTGGAGTTACTAATGACTGGTAGTCACCTTGTGGGTGCTGGGTCCCCTGGAAGAGCAAACTGTGTTCTTAACTGCTGAACCATCTCTCCAGCCCTGATTTTCCAGAATCTAAACTTTTAGACTTGAGAAGTATCTAGTGCCTAAAGAAGACTGGAATAAAATAAGGCTGAATGGTATGTATGAACCATAGAATGAAGATAATTTTAAAGGTTGCAATTAGTCTAAAACCAGTAACAAGCAAAGGGCAGTTTAAGTGGACAGTGGGGTGCTATTCCATATACTTCATTTTTTAAATATTTTATTTCTTATTTTTATGTGTATGCATGTATTGGCTGCATGTAGGTAAGAGCACTGTGTCATGCAATGCCCGCAGAGGACAGAAGAGGCTGTCAGATCCCCTGGAACTGGAGTTACAGACAGTTGTTAGCTGCCATGTGGGTGCTGGGATTCGAACCTGGGTCTTCTACAAGAACAGTCAGTGTTCTTAACTGCTAAGCCATCTCTCCAGCCCCTCCATATACTTTAAAAAGATCTGCTGGATGTTGTGGCATACATTTGTAATCTCAGCACTTGTACATGAGGAGGTAGAAGGATCAGGAGTTAAGGCCAGCCTTGGCTACATAGTGAGTTTGAGGCCAGCACTGGCTACAAGAGACCCTTACTTCAAAAAAACCAAAAATCACTTTGTGTACATCACAGGAAATGGATTTCAGATAGTCATAATAGACACTGCAAGACCTGTTATAAAGCTATAGCAGTGACCTAGATGACATGAATCTTAGGCTAAGGTAATGACATTAAGACAGAGAAAAGACTATAAATTCCAGAAGTATTTAGGCTTTATAGGACTTGGTGACTGACTGAATTAGGTGGTGGAAGTGACTCCCCAACATGAATTCTCTGATGATGAGCTAGGTGTGCATGTTGTCTGAAGGTTTTTTTGCATTCCTTACATTCATAGGGTCTCTCTCCTGTATGAATTCTTTGATGTTGGGCAAGGGATCCACAGTAACTAAAAGCCTTCCCACAAACATTACATTCATAAGGTTTCTCTCCAGTGTGAACTCTCTGGTGCTGAGTAAGGGATGAGTCATTGCTAAAAGCCTTCCCACACTTAATACATTCATAGGGTTTCTCTCCAGTATGAACTCTTTGATGTTGAGCAAGGTAGGCAATCTGACTGAAGGCTTTCCTACATTCCTGACATTTATAAGGTTTTTCTCCAGTATGAATTCTCTGATGTTGAGCAAGATGTGAATTCTGGCTGAAGGCCTTCCCACACTCCTTACATTCATAGGGTCTCTCTCCCGTATGAATTCTCTGGTGCACAGTAAGGTATGCACGGAGACTAAATGCTTTTCCACAGACATTGCACTCATGAGGTTTCTCTCCAGTATGAACTCTCTGGTGTTGAGCAATGGATGATCTATTGCTGAATGCTTTCCCGCATTCAATGCATTCATAGGGTTTCTCTCCAGTATGAACTCTCTGGTGTTGGGCAAGATAGGCAAACTGGCTGAAGGCTTTCCTGCATACCTGACATTCATAAGGTTTCTCTCCAGTATGTACTCTCAGATGTTGAACTAGATGTGCATTCTGACTGAAAGCTTTCCTACACTCTTTACATTCATAGGGTTTCTCTCCAGTATGAATTCTGTGATGCTGAACAAGGTTTGACCTCTGGCTGAAGGCTTTCCCACATTCCACACATTCATAGGGTTTCTCTCCAGTATGGATTCTTTGATGAAGTGTAAGGGATGAGCTCTGGCTGAAGACTTTTTCACAATCGTTGCATTTCAAAAGTTTCTTCTCTGCATAAATACTCTTGGGTTTAATAGTCATCAAACTTTTTTCAAAGTGTTTCTTACGTGTGTCTTGTTTATATATATTTTCCTCTTTAGGGATTATCTGTTGTGTGTGAAGCAATGTGTTCTGGTAGAAATTTCCCCAAGATTTGCTATCAGTGAGAGTTTCTTCATAAGTGATGGTCTCTTCCTTAACACATGCCTTTAGACTTCCTGGCTGCCTCTCAAACTGGCCCTCACATTTCCACTCTGCTCTCAAGCTGGGATACTCAAGGCCAATGCTAGCAAGTTCTTCTATTATCTGCTGGGATGACTGTTCTTCATAAACTTCCTGTTTGGGGATTAATTCTTCAGTGTCACACATAGACTCCCAACCTAAAAGTAATAATAATAAAAAAAGTCTTCTTTATTATGTACCAAAAGTGCATTCAGGAAAGTACATTTGTAAAGTGAAGTACATAGACTTAATATCAAATGAAACCCCAAAGAACATTGCATTTCATAGTTCTGAAGTACATAAAAAAAAACTGAAAACAGGACATAAAGATATGTGGAACCTGGAGAGATGGCTTAGCGGTTAGAAACACTCCTCTTCCAGAGGGCTAAGTTTGGTTCCCAGCACCTATATCAGGCAGCTCACCATCACCTGTAACTCCAGATTCAAGAGATCTGACACTCTTTTGGGGCTTCTATGGGCACCTGCATTCATACGCACATACCCCCATACATATGATTAAAAATAAAAACAAATCTTGAGGAAGCTAGAGATGGCTCAGCAATTAAAAGCACTTGCTGTTCTTACAGAGAATATGGGTTCAGTTCCAGCACTCACACAGGGCTAACACTGTCAGTTCCACATAAAATAAAATATTTAAAAATATGTAGGGGAGTGGTTAAATTATAAGAAAATCAGCAAAGTAAATCTCAGGGCAAGAAAGAATTATGGATACAACTGGACCTGGTGATAATTAGTAGACAATGAAGGAGTCTCCATTCTTATAATCGTTTCATTCAAGAACAGCCACTGAACAAATCATTATCTTGGGCCAGATACTGTTCTATATGTTTTCAGTATCATAAAACAATGATCACTACCTTTATTTTTCTTAAAACACTTTATTTTATGAGTATGAGTGTATTGCCTGAATGTATGTAAGAGTACCCATGTCATGCACTGCCCACGAAGGTCAGAAGAGGGCATCCTGTCCCCTGGAACTAGAGTTATGGAAAGTTGATTGACACTATGTGGGGGCTGGGAACTGAACCGGGTCCTCTGAAAGAGCAGCCAGTGCTCTTAACTGCTGAGCCATCTCTCCAGCCCTTGATCACTGCCTTTATAAATCTTAGTTTCTTAGAGGAGACAAAAAATAAGGAAGTAAATTTTATTGCATGTTAGAAGGTACTAAGGACTACAGAAAAAGGAAAGCGGATGGCTCAGCAGTTAGGAATGCTTACTGGTCTTCCAGGAGACCTGAATTTGGTTCCCAGCATCCTCATCAGGTGGCTCACAACTGCCTGTAATTCCAGCTCCAGGGGATCCATCACCCTGTTCTGGCTTCACAAACACCTGCACTCATACCCACACACAGACACACAGACACAGAATTTTAAAAATAAATCTTTTTTTTTTAAATGAAAATGGGGGCTGAAGAGATGGCTCAGCCATTAAAAGTATTTACTGCTCTTGCAGAGGCCTCAAATTTGGTTCCCAGAACTGACACAGTGGCTAACAACTGTCTGTAACTCCAGTTCCAGGGGATCCATGCCCTCTTCTGACCTCTATGGGCACTGCACACACAATACACTTACATACATACAGGCAAAACACTCATACACATAAAATATAACAAAAAAGTTCTTTCAAGCATTAAGAAAAGAAAGCCAAGCCCATTCCCCTCAGGCTTGCCATTTGGCAGGTGGGTCTCACGTAGGTTCAACTTGCAGATTGAGAAGTGTTATTTCTGTTCTGGGCCATCTACACCGGCCACTGCATGATGTTCTGTCCACAATGACTGCAAAGTGTTCAGATTCTGTAAATCCAAATGTCATAAAAACTTTAAAAAGAAGCGTAACCCTCGCAAGGTCAGGTGGACCAAAGCCTTCTGGAAAGCAGCTGGTAAAGAGCTCACTGTGGACAACTCATTTGAATTTGAAAAGCGCAGAAATGAACCTGTGAAATACCAGCAAGAGTTATGGAATAAAACTATTGATGCAATGAGGAGAGTTGAAAAGATCAAACAGAAATGCCCAGCTAAATCCATCATGAACAGATTGAAGAAAAATAAAGAGCTACAGAAAGTTCAGGACATCAAAGAGATCAAGCAAAACATCCATCTCATCCGGGCCCCTCTTGCAGGTAAAGGAAAGCAGATGGGAGGAAAAAATGGTGCAGCAGTTACAGGAGGATGTGGACATGGAGGATGCTTCCTAAGCTCACTGCCTGTAATCAGCGCTGTATACACTGGAAATCTCCAGAGACTCAAAATCCCTAAGTTATTGATTTGTTACATAAGGTTGCTCAGGGGAAGGTAATTAAAAGCTTCTCTCTGACGTCGCTGTCTGTAAAGCAGAGAATGCATACACTGTATTGCACTGTTGAGAGTTAGGCTCACATAAACAAGAGATCCCGAGAGTAGACGAACAAGTCAATTGTGGACATACCGTGGTCATGCTACATGGGTAACAGCATCAGGCAGCATTTTTGAACAACTAACAACAAAATTCATGGCTGGCTAGACATTTTCTTTCCAACAGAGTAGTCTGTATTTGGGTTATTGAGGCAGGGGCCACAAGAAACCATCAACTCACATAAGGACCTCAGAATCTTTTTTGGGACAAGGTCTTACCGTGTGGTCCTAGCTGGTCTGGAACTCAGTATGGACCAGGCTGGCCTCAAAGTCCCAGGGATCTGCCTGCCTCTGCCTCCCCAGTACTGGGGCTAAAGACCTATGCCACCATGCCCTATAGTATCTGTAGTATTTCTGTTTATTAGTTTCTCGGGGAAGCGTAATGGTTGCATCTATTGAAGCTGACCCTGCTAATAGGTAGCTATAGATGTCAGGAGATGAGAGTTGCATAAACTTCACCTGAACAGCACCTTGTTATTTCTGTTTTGGAGAATTCTTAGTTTCTAATTGTGATTTCTGACAGAACAGACTCCCTTCTTCCCTGAGCCTCGCAGTGATCTAGAAGCAAAAGAATCTTGGTGCCTTTTAAAATTTATTAGTTGTTTTGGGAAAATAGAACTTATGTAACATTACCCATTATTTGCACATAAAATAAAAACATATCTAAATTAAAAAAAGAAAGCGAAGTAAGTGGGGTCAAGAATCATTACAAAGTGAACACACACACGAAGAACTGAAGGAAGTAAAAAAGTCAGTCCCTTAGATTTTTTAGGAAAAAAAGCATCTGGGCAGAAGAAATAGCTAGTTTAAAAATATCAGTGGAGCACCATGTCTTGTTTGCTTAAGAATAGTGAAAATGCCAAGGTGGCTAGAGAGGAGGGGGTGCTAGGAGATGAAGTCAGGAAGTAAAGAGTGACAAGATTATCTTTTTTTTAGGACTTCTAAGGAATTTGGTTTTTCTCTGTAAGACGGAGTCACATTTAAAGTGTTCTGAGAAAAGTGATACCTGGCTGTCAGGTGACAACAATACCTCAAGGTGGGAAACAAGTGGTTGTTAGGCTGATGCTAGTGACAACTGAATGATCCAGACCAGAAAGATATCAATGTAGAAGAAGAGATTATTAGTTCCTATGTGTACATAGGTAGATGCGAAAGAACATCCTCCCGGGCTTTGGTGCATGCTTTAATCCCAGCACTCAGGAGGCAGAGGCAGGTGGATGTCTGTGAGACCAAGTCCATCCTGGTCTCCATAGCGAGTTCCAGGCCAACTCTGACTACAGGGAGACCCTGTCTCAAAAGACCAAAAAACAAACAATAAAACAAAACAAAAATCCTGACAGATTGGGTGTGAAAGGTGACAGAGACACAGCGAGCTCCAGTCCAAAGTTTACAATCTGAGCAATGGAAGGCTCAGATTGGCAGGCTTGGGCAACAAGATATGGAAGACCTTTAGCTCAGTTGTAAGCATATTACATGTATAATATCTTACTAATTTTGAAATGGAAACATTGAGTGGGAAGACAGACACATAATAACATGACATCATAACTTACTAAAGATCTGGAATGCTTGTGGGGTGGCTTAGTGAGCAAAGGCATTTGCTGTGCAAGCCTAGTGACACGGGTTTGATCCATGGAACCCAAGAAAAGGAAGAACAGAACAGATTTCATTAAATCGTCCTCTGGCCTCCAGACATGCATGTGCCCCCGCATCACAGCACAGAATAATAATTCTTTTTTTTTTTTTACTTAAAAGATCTAAAGCCAGGTGTAGGGGTGCACACCTTTAATCCCAGCATTTGGGAGGCAGAAACAGGTGGCTCTCAACTGGTCTACATGGTGAGATATAGGCCAGTTGGGGCAACAGGGAGACCCTGTCTCAAAAAACAAAACAAAACAAAACCAAAAAACGAAAAATTTAAAAAAAAAACAAAAAACAAAAAGATCTAGGTAGATTTAAAATTGGGATGAGACTTTTAAAATGATGGGATGGTTAAAAATGCCAACTTGACAGGATCTAAAATTAGATCCTCTGGGCCTGCCTATGAGGGATTATCTAGATTAGCTTACCCTCTGGGCATGACCGTGAGGAATTATGTTCATAACTGAGGTGGGAAGACCACCCTGAAGTGGGCAGCACATTCTCTGGGTGCAGGTCCTGGACCGCATAGAAAGGAGAAAGCTGGCTAAGCACCAACATTCCTCCTCCTCTGCTTCCTCACTGTGGATGGAATGCGCTATCCTCCAATCTCCTGTTGTCATGGCTTCCCAGCCAGGATGGACTCTGCCTGGAACCGTGAGCCAAACTAAACCCTTCTTTAAGTGGCTTGTGCCAGGGTATTTTATCACAGCAAGACAAGTAACTAACACAGACGGTATTTCTTTTTTCTTTTTATTTATTTATTCTTGTTTTGAGACTTGCTGTGTATACTGGCTGCCTTCAAACTCACAGAGATCCACTCACCTCTGCCTCCGAAGTACAGGGCTTAAAGCCATTGTGCCAACATGCCCAGCCTTTTTCTTTTTATATCAATACACAAAATCATCGATACATATATAAGACATGGTGCATGTATGGAAGTAAGTCAAAGGACGACTTGCAGGAGTTGATTCTCTCCTAACCATGTGGGTTCTGGGAACTGAACTCAGCTTGTCAGGCTTAGTGACAAGTGCCTTTACCTGATGAGCCATCTTGCTGGACCCATGATATCTTCAAGACTCATGCATGCTGTAGTATACATCAAAATTTCCTCCCTTTTCAAGGCTGAATAGTATTCCATTGTATGTGTACACTATATTTTGTTCATTCACCACCATTAATACCTTTGTTGCTTTTGCTTCTTCCTTGTAGCTATCAACATCAACATGAATACACAAACAGCTTTTCAGTTCTTTGGTGTATGCACCCAGTCAGTTCTTTGGTGTATGTACCCAGAAGTAGAACTGATAGATCACATGGAATTATATTTTAATCTTATTTTTATTTTATGTGTATGAGTATTTTGCCTGCATTATCTGTAAATACGCCATGTACATGCAAAGCCCACAGAGATCAGAAAAGGGCGTTAGTCCCCTGAAACTGGAATTACAGTTATTAGATGCCATGTGGGTGCTGGGAACTGAACCCAGGTCCTCTGCAAGAGCAGCCAGAACTCTTAAACACTGAATCATCACTCCAGTCCCTCCCCCCATTTTCTATTTCTTTTTCAAAAAATATTTTATCTATTTATTTTTATTTTATGTGTATGAGTGTATTGTCTGCATGTATATAAGTGCCCCCATGTCATGCAGTGCCTGTAGAGGTCAGAAGAAAGTGTCAGATTCCCTGGAACGTGAGTTAAGGAAAGTTGTTAGCTGCCATGTGGGTGCTGGGAATCAAACTCGGGTCCTTTGCAAGAGCAGCCAGTGCTCTTAACCATGAAGCCATCTCTCTAGCCCCCAATTTTCTATTTCTTAATATAAGAAGTAACTAGCTGGGTTTTTGTTCTATTTAAACCATATATGTGTGCTAATGGTGACTTATGCATGTGATTTATTTGATAATAACAAAATGTATTCATGGGTCATTTGATATAGCAGTTCCACATCAAAATTTTCCTCTCAGAAAACTGAGGAAGGACATAAAAGACTGGATCAGGGTTTGTGGGTTGAGGGGTTGAGAGACATGCTTACAATGACAGAACATTAGTCCTTCATCTCACCTCAGTGTTTCCTCTGTCCATCTGAAAATCTCACACCACAAACCCAAACTCTGACTCCCAAGTTTCCATTACGTCAGCTTTTTCTCTGTACATGCCATTTTGTAGCTGTATCGTATTTCTATTCCTACCCCACAATTATTGTATTATTTGTACAAACATGTAACACTCTATTCATGGGGTGGGTATGAGGTAGGGGTAGCATTGTAAGTACCCTGTTTAGGAGCTAGAGAAGTGGCTCAGCGGTTAAGAGCACTGGCTGCTTTTACAGAGGACCCGGGTTTGATTCCTAGTACCCACATGGTAGCTAACAACCATCCATAATTCCAATTCCAGGAGTTCAATAACCCTCTTCTGGCCTCTGCGGGCACTGCATGACACAGGTGCACTTACATATATCTATGCAATGCACTCATACACATGAAATAAAAATGATAAATATTAAAAAAAGAAAGTACCCTGTTTAAAGTGAAAATTCAATAATATTGATATCGATTAAAGGAACAAAAGAGTGAGTGAGCTGACCAGAGGAGGGTGAAGCATTTGGAGATGTGCCACTACCTCTAATCGCTGCTAACAGCTGCTGAATGCATATTATAAAATGGGAATGTTCAAAACACATTCATTGCACGTCACAGTGGCTCTTTTGACAAACCAGAAGCTGTGGTAAAGGACTTAACAGATGAAGGACACGCAGCAACTCAGCTTAACCAACTTCATGATATGCTTGTAGAAAACGAAAACCTTTCTGCTAAACAGAAGTCCACTGTTACAGAAAAACTTGCTGAGGTTGATAGATGCTTCGCAGACAGTGCTGACAAACACCTGCAGTTGAAGAGCCTTTGTACAACTGTGTTACAGCAATTAACTTAGAATTGTTGAAAACAAAGTTTTGTAGAACATAATAAAATGAGCAAAAAGCCACACACACAAACAAGTATTACTTTAGAGATGACAAAACAAAAGCAGAGAGAGGGGGCTGGAGAGACGGCTTGGCAGTTAAGAGCACTGGCTGCTCTTGCAGAGGACCGGGGTTCAGTTCCCAGCACCCACATGGCAGCTAACAACCATCCATACTCCAGTTCCAGGGGATCCAACAAACTCATTTTCTGTCCTCTGTGGGCACTGCACGGCATGGTGCACTTATATACATGCCAGCAACACACTCATACACATAAAATCAAGATAATAAATAAAAAATATTTTAAAAAACAAACCAAAACAAAAGCAGAGAGAGGTTAGTAACTTTCCTATGGTTTCACTGCATGGAAGCATCAGGAAGGATTTGAACCTGGTATTTCATTTACAATCAGTGTGGCTCATAAGTTTATCAAATCGGGAAGAGATTTTTTTTTTAAAGACTGGAAGGGAATTTTGAGGGAAGAGGATTCACAGAACAGAAAAAAAATGAGTTAATAAGAAGAACGAGGCAAAGTGTGAGAGGAGAGACAGGTAAGGTTAGCAAATGGAGAAAGCCCTGGAAGGCCCTAGGACACTTAGGAACATGCCACAAAAATGAAGGGGCATTTTGTTTGAGTGAAGCTGAACCGTCAGCTTCAAAGTTCTCACCTGCCTACTTCCCCTTCACTCACCTGAGCACAGGCCATCTGTCAGCTCTCTCTTCACCATCCATGGCTCTTTTCCTTGTTCCAACAACAATATCACACCTGGCTTAGAAAAGCAAAGGCCTGCATGGATGAGAAGAAATGGAATTTGATTATGCTATGGATAATCCAAAGCTCGCATCTGAGACTGAGGAGGTGGCTCAGCCAGTAAGGTGCTGGATGCGTACGCATGAGGACCCACAGTTAGATACTCAGCACCCATATAAAAAGCCAGGTACGGTGTGCACATCTGTAATTGCAGCTATGGGAGGCAGAGACAGGCAGATCCCTAGAGCTGATTGGCTAGCCAGCCTAGTCAAATCAGTGAAGACCGGGTTCAGTAAGAGACCTTGTTTCAAAAAATAATGGTCAGCAAGTAAAAGCACTTGCTGCAACAGTCTGACAACCTGAGTTCAATCTCTGGAATCCACATACAAGCAGAAGGAAAGTTAGCCTCTTGCCTCCACACCTGCCATGGCATGTGTATACACACACACACACAAACACACACACACACACACACACACACACACAAATAATAAAATAAGGTAGAGAGTGACTGAGGAAGACACCTATCGCTGACCTCTGGCCTCCATACATACCCACATACACGCACACACACTCATGCACACACACACACACACACACACACACACACGCACGCACGCACGCAATATATATATTAAAAAATTTCTCATACCTAACCCCTTAGTCATCAAAGAAGAGAGACCACAGTGTTAAGTCAAAGAAAAATGTCGAGAGGACATAGTAAAAGTTCAGAAAATGACTGGGCAAGAAAGTTCAGCTGGTAAAGGCACTTGCTGTCAGGCCTAGTGGCCTGAGCTCAGTTCTTAGAAACTATATGTCCTCTAACTTCTGTGTGCCTGTGCACACACACAATAAATACATGTTTTTAAAAAACTCTATTCAAAAAATGATTTTAGGGGATGAAGAGATGGCTCGGCAGTTAAGAGCACTGGCTGCTCTGCAGAGACCCCAGGATTGGTTCCCAGCATCTACACGGTGGCTAACAACCATTCATAACTCCAGTTCCAGGGGATCTAACACCTTCTTCTGGCCTCCGCAGGCATTCCATGCATGGGTGCACTAACATACATGCAGACAAAACACTTCTACACATAAAGTAAAAAGCAACAGGGTCTGGAGAGATGGCTCAGCGGTTAAGAGCACTGACTGGTCTTGCAGAGGACCCAGGTTCAATTCTCAGCACCCATATGGTGGCTAACAACCATCCATAACTCCAGTTCTGGGGGAATCCGACACCTTCTTCTGACCTACTCGGGCATTGCATGACATGGGTGCACTTACCTACATGCAGGTTTTAAAGAGTAAAAAGAAGTAAAATATTTTTTAATGATTTTTTTTGGTCTTTTTGAGACAGGGTCTCCCTGTAGCCCCAGCTGGTCTGTAACTTGCTATATAGACCAGGCTGGCCTTGAATTCACAAAGATTTGCCTGCCTCTGCCTCCCAAGTGCTGGGATTAAAGGCATGCACCACCATGCCCTGGCTAAAAATGATTTTTTAAAAGGATATGGGATATGAAGCTCCTGGCATAGGCCATGATAGGCCTATTCACTGCCAACTCCATGAAGCTCCCGGCATAGGCCATGATAGACCTATCCACTGCCAACTCCATATTTGGCTTTGGCAGACACATGCCCCAACTTTGCAGATGCTGACATTCACAATGTTGGCAGCAAAGTCTTTCATCAATAGAAGTCCCATTTTGCTAGGGGAAGATGTCCTTACCCAGTGACACCAAGATCTTATAGTTCTCCAACATCACGTTGCTGTACAAATGCCTTTGAGAAGAATTCAGACTATCCCATTCCTCCTGGGAGAAGTCTACAGCCACATCTCTGAAGGTCACCAGTTCCTGAAGTAATAAAAGAAATGAAGTAGGCTCCTCCCTCACCATGCTCACTCCATTTGCTCTATACTAGGCACACTGGGATCTCCCTGGTATTATATCCTCTTCACATGTGTCAATAATGTTCCCTCGAGGGGCCTCCGTCCTCTTCAGAGCATCTGTATAAAAGAGCAGTGCTCCCACCTCAATCTCCTATTTCCCTAACTATGCATGCTTTCCAGCTTGCTTTCCCTTCTTTCCTTTCTTTTTCTCTTCTGTCCCTCCTGCCCCTTTCTCCCTTCTTCCTTTCTTCCTTTGAGACAGGGTCTCATGTATCCCAGGCTGGCTGGAATCCTCTACATAGCTGAAGACGACCTTGAACTCCTCCTGATCTGCCTCTATCATCCAAGTGCTGGAATTGCAAGTATGCCATCACACCTGGTTTATGAGTCCCAGGGTTCAAACCCAGGGCCTTGAGCATGCTATACAGACACTCTACTAATTGAGCTATATTTCAAGCCCTCTGCTTGCTTTATTTATTGCCTGCCCACCCCACCCCACCCCCACCCAAAATGTAAGTGCCACAAGGACAGTGTTTTTGCTTTGGCCATATCCCCAGTTATGGAACATTACCTGGTGCTCATGTGATGCTGGAATACACATAATTTGATAATTTGGATAACTTGAATTAATGAATGGTTGAAAATTCCAAGAAGCTATAAGGGGATTAAAAATGGAACCATATATGCTGGGTGTGGTTGCACATGCCTTTAATCCCAGTATTTGGGAGGCAGAGGCAGGCAGATCTCTGTGAGTTTGAGGTCAGCTTGGTCTACATAGTGAGTCCCAGGACAGCTGGGGCTACAGGGAGACCCTGTCTCAAAAGAGAGAGAGAGGCAAAACAAAACAAAATACCGCCCCCGCCCCAACAAACAAACCAACCCATTAGGGCCAGGTGTGGTGGCATACACCTTTAATTATAAAGGAAACCATATTCACTTGCTACATCTTTGAAAATTGTGCTAAACCAAGCAGAGAAAATCATTTTTGTGTAAAGAAATGCAAGTTCCACTCATAATTTTACTTCTGACTCCAGGAGCTGGGCAAAGTTCTTGAAAACCTGGTTATGGTGCTGGAGAGATGGCTCAGCAGTTAAGAGCACTGGCTGCTCTTGTAGGGGACCTGGATTTGGTTCCCAGCACCCAAATGGCAGCTAACAAGTGTCTGTAACTCCAGTTCCAGAGGATCCGATGTCCTCTTCTGACCTCCACAGGCAAAGCACAACATGGGTGCACCCATGGGTGTACCTACATGCAGGCAATACGCTCATATACATAAAATTAAAAATAATAAAAATATTTTTTAAAAAGCTTAAATCCCAATTTCAAAATTTGACCCCTAACAAATATTGGAACTATCGTC